GGTTTCATTTAACCACCATAGAGAAAACAGTTTCGTTTTGGAAGTACTAAAATTTACAAGCCATTCTCTATCCCAGTTAACCAGTGACTGGAGGTCCTTTTCAAGGGCAGTGGCTGTGTTAACTTTGTCAGCTCTGAGGAATTTGCTATTGAGTCAGGAGTAAATGGTGGTGTCATCTGCATAAATGCCTACTTGAGAATTGATGACATCAGGAAGATCATTAATGAAGATCAGAAACATCAGAGGACCCAGGTTAGAGCCTTGGGAGACCCCCATCTTCGTATGAAAGGATCTGGAAGCAAGCCCATTCAAGACGCCCTTCATTTCACAATTTGATGGGAACGATTGGATTAAATCAAACATTCAACCTGTAATACTGTAGCCCTTGAGCTTATATGAAAGACCAGCATGCTCAACTCTTGTCAAATACCTTCACCATTATTATCAAGAGCTTGATATACATACTAGCAGCATGGCCCGGCGTTGCCAGTGCTTGATTCAAAAATCGTACGACTCATACAGCAATCGCTATCACTTCACTTAAAATATTTTTGCTCTTCCTTGCCTTTAAAGGAGTGCCCTTTTCTGTGCTGATGTTGCTACATGCCTTACTTCTTGCCTATCTCACACTGCGAATTTTTTCTAAGCTCTATACTAAACATTAAATCTGTTACGAAAAAAGAACTAAACAAAATGAACACAAAACGATCAGCTTTAAAAAAGGACTTGTAACTGGAAAAACCAAATGAAAAAAGAATGTTAACAACAAATACTTTTCCACACCCAACCCAGTTCTGCAGAATCAGAATCAACATTGAGTTTAAGCAAGCGAATGAGCCAATTGGAGTAAAGTGCCATGCAGATTTAAATTTTTCCCACTCGTGACGAATGCAGCTATCGATTTTTTTTGCATGCTAGCATACTAGTTAACATTCGTGTCAGTCAGCTGTTGGCTCTCACGCTGGCCTAATAGAATCTTCCTGCCTATTCTTGGCAGCCAGCTATAGGCTCTCACTCTGGCCAGTAGAAAATGGCCGCAAACTACATGAAAACTGCTGTAGAAGCATGCAAAAATCGATTATTTCCACTATCGATGGGAGTTGGGAAATGCAAAGTTAGTCTTGGCCTTCCCGCTAACTTGGAGTATGTGCATGTAAATTTTGGTGCAAATCCATTGAAAATTGCGGCCGTGTATTCGTTACACACACACACACATCCTGCCTTTTATAGATAGAGATTCAGTGATGACTGTTAACACATCAGCAGTAGACCTGGCAAAACGAAACCCATATTGTTTGTCAGTGTGTAGTTAGTGAGAAGATGCTTAACCACTTCAGCATTGATTAAAGCGTCGAGTACTTTGCCAAAAAGCAGTAGGAGACTAATAGGGCAATAGTTAGAGGGGCCAGAAGGTTCTCCAGAGTTTTTAAAAACAGCAGGAGCTACAGAGGAAGACTTCCAACAAGCTAGAAAACAGGAAGCAGTGAGGCAATAGTTGTAGAGTTTGGAGAGAACTGGAGCCAGCTTGGGAGTAAATTTCTTTAGGATGACAACTAGATTCTGTCACCTCCCCTTGCCTTATGGGAGTCTAATTTAGAAATGATGTCCGAGACCAGTGATGGAGTTATGCAAAAGCGTCTGTTCTTGTGAGGAAATCAGGTGTGGGTAGTCTAATTCCACAAATTAATCATTACAAGTCCCAAAACAATTTAAGAGGTTAAGATTCCAAAAACAGAAGATCAGGATTTATTTTTGCATTTAAATTTTTGAAGATTGTAGCTGACAGGAAAGCAAGAAACTGGAAGAGAATTCTTTAGTAAGTCATATTGATATATTTGGAAGCTCCTTGGGGTAGGGAGCAGTTATAAAATAACAGCTCAACATCCATAATGGCTACTAACCTAAATCATAATATATTCAATGAATAAAATTTAGATGATAACAGAAATGAGATGTAGTAATATTTTGGATTTGTATTGTAATTCTCTTCAAAGTTGATGATAATATCATGATAAAAAAAAATGAGGGATCAAAAAAAAAAATGAATTCACACATCCTTCCAGTTAATAAATAAATCCTTCGAAAATAAATATTTAACATTTTTCAACCGAAGGATTGTGTTCCCACTGACAATAAAAAAAAAACATGCTTTGTGATCCCTTTGAAGTGTATTTAAACAAAATCCTTAGACGGACAAAAGCAGGAGAAGTAAGGAGAAGAGATGGCAACATGCTGTAATGGTTTACGATGGCTTGGCTTCAAAAAAATTCCCTTACTCATTCAACCATCTTCCTCACCAAGCTACGTAACATTTACACTATTCCTCACTAAGCTACATGATATTTGCACTCTTCTTCACCAAGCTACATGACACTTACACCATCCTCACCAAGCCATGTGACATTTACATTCTTCCTCCCCAAGTTATGTGACATTTACACTCTTCCTCAAAGAGCTATGTGATACTTACACTCTGTCTCACCAAGCTACATGACACTTACACCATCCTCATCAAGCTACATGACATTTATACTCTTCCTCACTAAGCTACATGACACTTACACTCTTCCTCACCAATCTATCTGACATTTACACATTAATCGGGGCTTCCCTTCCTCGCCTTTTGTTTAGGGTAGTGTGGAATGTCAATATCTTGGTTATGTCATTATTCTTTATTTGAGTTACATATTCTACCCATTTTAGTGGTTGTTGATGTTAAACGTCCTCAAGTAATATGCTTTCTTTTATCTCATTCTATTCTTTGTGATTCTGTAATGACAGTTCATGAAGTTTGATGAAGGATGGTGCTCGCTGAGACCTTCATGCTTTCCTTGCTCAAAACCATTTTTACCCATCAATATGAGAAAACGGTTGTATATAGCTAACAGTTTAGATATTTCTGAATTAATTTTGTGCCATGCATTAAAAAAAGTATGAAAGTATTGATCTGATGGGGCTAATTTAAGGAAGGAGGCTATATAAAGATAGGGAAATTAGAATGAGGCTATATAAAGATGAGAACATTAGAATGAGGCTATATAAAGATGAGAACATTAGAATGAGGCTATATAAAGATGAGAACATTAGAATGAGGCTATATAAAGATGGGGACTTTTGAATGAGGTTATATAAAGATGAGGACATTAGAATGAGGCTATATAAAGATGGGGACTTTTGAATGAGGTTATATAAAGATGAGGACATTAGAATGAGGCTATATAAATGTGGGGACATTAGAATGAGGCTATATAAAGATGATGACATTAGAATGAGGCTGTATAAAGATGGGGACATTAGAATGAGGCTATATAAAGATGGGGAGATTTGAATGAGGCTTTATAAAGATGGGGACATTAGAATGAGGCGATATAAAGATGACATAAGAATGAGGCTATATAAAGATGAGGACATTAGAATGAGGCTATATAAAGATGAGGACATTAGAATGAGGCGATATAAATGTGGCGACATTAGAATGAGGCTATATAAAGATGAGGACATTAGAATGAGGCTATATAAAGATGAGAACATTAGAATGAGGCTATATAAAGATGAGAACATTAGAATGAGGCTATATAAAGATGGGGACTTTTGAATGAGGTTATATAAAGATGAGGACATTAGAATGAGGCTATATAAATGTGGGGACATTAGAATGAGGCTATATAAAGATGATGACATTAGAATGAGGCTGTATAAAGATGGGGACATTAGAATGAGGCTATATAAAGATGGGGAGATTTGAATGAGGCTTTATAAAGATGGGGACATTAGAATGAGGCGATATAAAGATGACATTAGAATGAGGCTATATAAAGATGAGGACATTAGAATGAGGCTATATAAAGATGAGGACATTAGAATGAGGCGATATAAATGTGGCGACATTAGAATGAGGCTATATAAAGATGAGGACATTAGAATGAGGCGATATAAATGTGGCGACATTAGAATGAGGCTATATAAAGATGGTGACATTAGAATGAGGCTATATAAAGATGAGGACATTAGAACAAGGCTATATAAAGATGGGAACATTAGAATAAGGCTATATAAACATGAGGGCATTAGAATGAGGCTATATAAAGATGATGACATTTGATTGGGGCTATATAAAGATGAGGACATTGGTCCAAATATAAATGATTTAAATAAGGATAACTCCTTATCTCAGAAATGTAGACAAAAATTCTTTGGTTAATACTGATTTTATTATGAAAACATTGACTTGCATAGTAAAATCTGATTTTGTGCATCTGTTCAAAAACACCTTATATACATCTTGATACTTAGGTAATTCTAGATGAATTCACCTTGAATTCCTTCAACAAGAAAGAGAACCAGAATTCAGTATAAGTTTGGTATTTCTTGTCCAACTTTCACTTAAGAGATTCATCTCCCGCCCAGATACATTATCCCAACACCACTAGTCAAATAGTTATACATACCCAATATGAATAGCAAGGTTCCAAAATCTTGATGGTCAATTGCAGATCAATAAAAAAGTCGTCAAAACAGCTGAGAAGCAGTTATAGTCTTGGAGAGCTTAAAAGTACATGGTTACATTAACCGATTTAATCTAATGAAGGTGGGGCATAGTAGGTCACTTTTGTTTGCATTTTTTTGTTTTCTTTCCATTTTTTAGTTATAAGAAATCTATCAGGTTAAAACAACTCAATATATATATATATATATATATATATATATATATATATATATATAAACATATATTTTTAAATATAACAGACAATGAATATCTATTATGTCTGATCATGAGCTGTTCTAATGTTTGAATATTTGCTTTAATTTCTGGTGAAAATAAACATAAAATTGTCCAACATTTGGATATTTTTTTAAGTTGGTCCTAAGCTTTCGGCGCACATGAGCCATCCTCAGAGTGGTTATACAAACATGAAAAAAAGATATCCACCGTCAAAGATGATATTTTGTTGATAATATAACCACTCATATGTTATAAATAAACATTGGGAAAAAGATCATTAGAAAGAAAAGCATGAAGAAGGAAAGAATAAAAGAAGAGAAAGCACATCAAAAATGAAAAGAAAACAAGAGAAGGAAAAAGAAAATGTAGAGAGATAAGCAAAAAATAGGATTTTAAAAAAAAAGATGAAATGTTGAAAAACAATGGACAAAAGGAAGAGAGAATGATAGAAAGTGAAAAAGAATAAAAGATAGATATAAAATAAAAACAACCCGAGCAAAAAAGAAAGAAAGAAAGAAATGGTAAAATTGAAATAGAGAGAGGAAAAGGACAAAGAAAGCTGAAAGGAAAGGTAAATTACAAAATAAAGAAAAGAGAAAGAAAATACAAAGTGTAAACTGAATAAAAAAAAAAAAAGAAAAATGAGAGGGGGTAAAAAGAAAGAAAGAGCAAATGGAAATAGAAAAAAAAAAGAAGTAATAGTCAAAAAAAGAAGAGAATTAAATAAAATTGATTGACACTCAGCCTGCCAATGATGTAAAATTTTCTCTGTCCAGCAAAAATCAATGAATCAAGAATAAATACACATCTCAGATGGACGCCAGTTGTTCTGATAATTGGTCTGTTTGTTTCATTTGTCTTGTGTTTTAATTGGATCAAATCTACTTTTGATTAATTTGTTTCATGCGACCTCAAAGAAGCGATTTCTACATTAATCATGATGTTGTAAACAGATGTGTTGTCTTGCACAAAACAAATTGCTACAAGGCAGTTTCCATCTTTGGGATAAAGGAAACCTTACTTGTCTGATTAGGTGAACTCTGTGATTGGTTTGCATGTCAATTCCAGAAAGCAAGTCAAGAGAAAAATGTGTGTGTGTGTGTGGTGGGGGAGAGAATTGATGAGGATGATGATGATTCAGAGGTGAAAATGGAGAACAGAAGAAATGTATAAAAGGCTGATCAGAATGGAAAGGGAAGTTTAGTAATAAAGCACAGAGGACACCTGAAGAGAGAAACTGAATCTTTATGAATAAAGCACAGTGGACACCTGAAGAGAGAAACTGAACAGAGGACACCTGAAGAGAGAAACTGATGAATTTTATGAATAAAGCACAGTGGACACCTGAAGAGAGAAACTGAATCCTTATGAATAAAGCACAGAGGACACCTGAAGAGAGAAACTGAATCCTTATGAATAAAGCACAGAGGACACCTGAAGAGAGAAACTGAATCTTTATGAATAAAGCACAGAGGACACCTGAAGAGAGAAACTGAATCCTTATGAATAAAGCACAGAGGACACCTGAAGAGAGAAACTGAATCTTTATGAATAAAGCACAGAGGACACCTGAAGAGAGAAACTGACTTCTTATGAATATTTGAATTAATTAGGAGCAGGTATTTTGAGGCATACCTATAGATGATAATAGGCATGACCCCATTCACATAAGACAGGCAAGTGAGGAATGTGAAACTCCAGTGCAGATATAGCAACAATTCTTGTAAAGATAGGTGGGAGGAGTCAGATACTTACTGGAGCGGTATAAGGAACCGACCATTTTTCCAGCATCTTTAGCAATAGATCATATATATGTTCCACTTGAGGTGTAAGGAAAGCTTGAGTCCCAACAGACATTCAAAACCAGAGCCTCCTCAAGAGAACACCTATCCATTATCATAGGTGAAAGTTTGGGGTCTGCTTGGCGGTGATGTAGCATTACAATTTCGTTTTAGCCGTATTAAACTAGTGTTTCAATGTGATGTGGCCATAAGCCTTGTAGTGATTGGGATACCTGAGTGGATGATGATTCATCCTTGTGTACATGGCATGGCAGGTCCCAGTTGCAAAGGTCAGGGATTGTGGGACCAAGGAATGTAGCCCGTCAGAATACATGTCATGGAAATAGCAATAAAGCAGCAAAGGTTTGCAACATTTTGTCTGTGGAGAATGGGGTTGTAGGGTGAAAAATAATTCATCACCCACAAGGCCAGGTAGATGTTCTTAAACTCTGTCAAGACAAACAAGTGAGGAATGTGAAGCTCCAGCCCAGATATAGCAACAATGCTCCATTTTTTGATTTGTTCTGGCTCTTGTAAAGGTAGGTGGGAGGAGTCAGATACTTACTGCAGCGGTATAAGGAACCAACCATTTTTCCAACATCTTTAGCTATGGCTCATATATATGAGTTCCACTTGAGATCTGGGGTGAACTTGAGTCCCAACAGACATTCAAAGCCAGAGTCTCCTCGAGAGAACACCTATCCATTATCATAGGGGAAAGTTCGGGGTCTGCTCGTTGGTGATAGAACATTAGTAGTTTTTGAGGAAATCTCATGAGGAATTCAAAGACTTATAGTCTTCAGCTGCAAGAAAGCTGAATGTGTTACTGATTCTGTAGGTACAATTCCGTAACCTTATTCTTGTCTTTTCATAAGGCAAGGTAGGAGGGAGGGGAGACAGGCAGACAATTAGACACAGTTGTTGTGGGAATAAACAGTAGAATTATGAATGATTTGTTGGAAGGAAACTGGAAATATTTCCAGAAGATGCTTACGGTCAGAATGATTATCCTTTGCCAGAGGCTTATTCTTCCAGCATCTGCACCTAAATTCACTTGATAGAAAAACAGCTTTGAAGCATGAAGTCAAGTCATAGGCTTGAATTTTACCAATAAGTGAAATTAATTTAAACACACACACACATCTATCTATCTATCTATCTATCTATCTATCTATCTATCTATCTATCTATCTATCTATCTACATACATATATGTGTGTGTGTGTGTGTGTGTGTGTGTGTGGACACAGTATCGCCATTCAGTGTTGACCTCAGTGTCTACTCTTATATTTACACATGCTCTATCCCTGATATTGAGCACTTGTAGCCATAAATACAACATACCTTAAAACTGTGTGCGTGTGTGTGTGTGTGAAAACAGATCAAGTAGTCTGTAACCTGACAAATTTTTAGCTGAAATTTGATCTGAAATTTTCAGTATATAATGTTCAATTGTTTTTTTATCTTTAGTCTATGAACATATATATATATATATATATAAGATTTAAGAAATAGCAAATATTTTTTGTATATAGTGCTCAATATTAAAAATATTAAAATGATATTAAAAATAGTGTTAAATGAAAAAAAAATACAGTGATATCAAAATAATATTAAAATTAGAGTGTTATATGAAAAGATTACTTAACTTTTTCAATATCAATTTTTATCCCAACGTCAATGTTTCTTAGCAAAATTTCTAGTCATCAGGGGCAGTGGTTTTTAACGGTATTTCCAATTTTGAATTGGAAATACTGTTCAAACCGCTACCTGGGATTACTGGGAATTTTACTAAGAAACATCGATGTTGGTATAAAAATTGATATTTAAAAAGTTAGTAATTTTTTTATATATATATATATATATATATATATATATATATTATGAAATGGACAAAGTCCAACAATTATTTTAAGACATTTTTATGTTTTATACATTTTTTTTATAGATACAAATATTTAGATAAATGCTCTGTTTATAATAAACAGTATTAATAACATTTACCAGCCTAAATGTCCAAGAAATTTTCAAAGAAAAATATTCGTCCTCTGACAGGAATTGAAACTGTATCCTATATGGAACTGTCACATAGCCTGACATGCCTTAACCAATTGGGCCACAGAGGATCATTCGGTTAGCAAGGTCGATTTTGCTGCTTTTAAACTACAATCTTCCATTATTCTCTCATGTACATTCATTTCTGCTCAATGTGTTTCCAAATGTAAACAAATGACGTCACACATTATGAAATGGACAAAGTCCGACAATTATTTTAAGATTCATTCTTTTTATAAATACACATATTTAAGTAAATGATCTGTTTATAATAAACAGTATTAATAACATTTACTGGCCTGAATGTCCGAGAAATTTTCATAGAAAATATTCATCTTTGACAGGAATTGAACCTGTATCCTATACAGAACCGTCATATAGCCTGGCGTGCCTTAATTGTCAGAGGACAAATATTTTCTATGAAAATTTCTTGGACATTCAGGCCAGTAAATGTTATTAATACTGTTTATTATAAACAGAGCATTTACCTAAATATTTGTATCTATAAAAAGAATGTATAAAACATAAAAATGTCTTAAAATATATATATATATATATATATATATATATATGCAAGTTTCATTAAAGACAACTGACAAGGTACTGTGATTAAGTTTTTTATTTAATTTTTCTTCTTTTTGCGTAACAATTGTACAAATGTTCTGTATGTTTGAATACTTTTGGCTATTTTAGCCATTATCAAGGATGATTTTTATTTTTATTTTTAACTGAATGTATGGATTTTTTTATCTATGTATCAAGAGTTATAGGAATGTCTTTTTATTTTATGCTTATATATGTATATAGTGCATATATTTGTCTAAAGTATGTTGTATTATATGCATTGTCTATGATATTACAATGAATTATTCATACAAAAAGAAAATTAGTAAAGTTAATGATATAAAATGGCAAAATCCCTTCGCTAACAACATTTTTAAAGATGCATTAACCTACCAATCACTAGATGAATGTTACAATCCTTGTTTTTTAAAATTATAAGCTGTATAAGATCTTTCTTTAATACGCAAGTACTTTCAACTGTACATTCAGGCATGGAAATAATAATTTTAAAAAACAAGAATCATAACATTCATCGAGTGATTAGTAGGTTAATGCATCTTTAAAAATTTTGTTCGCGAAAGGATTTTGCCATTTTATATCATTAACTTTACTAATTTTCTTTTCGTATGAATGATTCATTGTAATATAAATTGAACTGCACCACATATTTGATTGTACATGATGCATATATTTGCATTTTTCATGGTTGTATTTTACAAGGTATTCATTTTCGTTTAGGCCAATGTCTAGAAATGAGTTAAGGAAGATTACCTTTCTTGTTCAGGTTCTGGTAAAGTGAGAAAGGCTAACAAATAGAAAATCAAAACACTAAGGCTGGAGATGGCTGTGTGCAGTGGAAAGAAATCTATCTTTTAATAATTCTCATTTTTCCTCATCCAAGAATAGTAAAAGCCTCACCCTGTGTCTACACCCTTTCCCTCAGTTGCCCACTTCTCAGCCTTACTACTGTTTTCATGAGACTAGGGCGTCAGCTGAAGTGCTTACTATGGGTGAAGTACTTATGTTTTAGAGGAGAATACATCCTGGTTGTTCTTTCTGACACCATCCACTACTACTTTCTCAGCTTACATCTCCATTCATAAGAAATTGTTTTTGTTTTTTTTAAAACAAATCCAATTTTCTTTCAGGATATATCCCCAAAAGAATATCAATTTTGTTCTTTTATAACTTGTTCAGGATACATACCTATCGTAAAAGCCAGGTACACTTAATAGATATATCAAAAACTAAAAACTTGTGTATTTCATGGAGCAACAGCCTAGTGGATTAAATCATCAGTTCCTGAATTTAGTGACATAGTATTTGTGAGTTCAATCCCTGATCAGGGCAGTGTAGACTCAACAGCAATAACTAAGCAATACTAAAAAAGCTGAAGACAAGATATCTCTAGACATGGACTGTGGGATAATAATAATCTACCGCTGTCAATTAAATAAAGTGTTCAGCTTCAAATTACCTGAAAGTTACTCGAATTGACTGACACCTGAACAAGTTTATCAGTAATAGTTACCGTGTTTGACAACATATAAGGCACACTTATTTTTTTACTAAAAATATCTTTTAAAATTCCCCTGCATCTTATATGACATATGTAGGTTTAAAATTCATGATACTCATCCGAAATTAGCTACCTGGCAACTCCTGTTAGCTTAGACTTAAACATGAAGGAGCATGGAAGGCAATGCCTGATCATGACCTTACACTTACAGGAAGAATATAAAGACCCAGCATTGCAAAAGTCTGCGAATGGTTGAAGCAAGGTTGGGATAATATTAGATCAGAAACTGTTATGAAATCGTTTAAAAAGTGTGGCATTAGCAATGCTCTCAAATGAATGGAAGATGTCGTATTATTTAACGACGATGATAGTAGTATTGAAAATGAGTATCAGAGTTTTGATAACGAAGACGACAAATATTATGGATTTGAAGATGAATAAAATTTTAATGGTAACTGTACTGTTTTGCTCAATTGTAATAATTGCTTGATTTTTATTTTGTTTTCTTATCTTTGGATATTATAAAGTTTTTATAGGCTTGTGTTCTTTTTTCCTATTGTTTTTCATTCAATTGTATTCATGACATGTTTAACTAAAATAATAACTCATAAGTATAGTATAGGCTGTACCATTTACTAATAATTTTACTAATTACAAATTTTGTTTTGATTTTCCCTGTTGAAATTGGGTTGCGTTGTATACACTGTCAAATACGATACATTAATACCTGACTACAGACAATTCCTTTCTTCCTGATTTTCAATGCATTTATATGCTAAATTTATGACATACATTTGGTTTATATATTTAAAATTATAATTATACCATTAATATTTACATTAATTAATATATATACATATATATATATATATATATATATATATATATATATATATATATTTATATATATATATATATATATATATATATATATATATATATATATATAATGAGTTGATGGTTAGAGTTGAATCAGAAAAGGAAACAGTAGTATTAAAAAGTGCTTAATACATGTGTGAAAAAAATAAATAAAAATAACATGTAGAGCTTTTAACTTTAAAAATCAACGGATCAGTTATGGTATCCACAGGCAATTTTTATCAATTGATAAAAATCATGTGAGGATATTGTAAGGTTGAAAACAAAGTAGTGGATTCAACAGATCTCCTAATTTTTAATATATATATATATATATATATATATATATATATATATATATATATATAGGAAATCCAGTTGATATATAATCCAAGTAAATCCTATTGATATAAAATAAAATATTAGAACTGATTCAAAGAGAGAGCTCAATGTTTTATTGAAACAGAGCATATATATTATAAACAATAGGAATTAAAATTAAATTACAAGGACTTTCAAATCCATCAGGTTAACAAGAAAGATCATAATAATAATACTATTTTGATCTTTCTTGTTAACCTGATGGATTTGAAAATCCTTGTAATTTAATTTTAATTTTACAAGGTCAAATGATGATCATCAGTATTATGGATTAATCCTAATCCCTGTTGTTTATAATATATATGCTCTGTTTGAAATTACTGAGAAAAAAAACTATTAAGACATATCACTATATTAATTGAACTATATACTTAATTCATGTCATTTTAACTGAAAAACACTTGTAAAAAAAGAATTTGTGGATTTACCATATTACAAAATTCATGTAAAAATTCTCACTTGAAATTTTGAACTTTAGCTTTGAGACTCTCACATTCCGAGATTGTACAACCGTCAATAAATAGCACATTCTTGAAAAACATCTTTTGGTCTACAAACAATTATTTTGTCTTCAAGTTTTAACTTTAAAGGAAAAAAATTACAGCCTGATCTTACAGGAA